TATACGTATACTATATATATATATATATATATATATATATATATATATATATATATATATATATATATATATAATATATAGAATTGCAGAGATCTATCATATACTTGCTTGTAATCCATACATCTTCAATAGGCATCGGTACATTTATAGCACAGCAATGTAGACAGCATCATACTACTCAAACCAATTTCATTTGTGTTATAAACTTTATCCAACTGCTTATAATTTAAGTTTCAAAACAGATCCGCTGCACATCCATAAGGCGTCCCATTAAGATTTTCTTTCATATGGACACTTGCTTATTCTTGCCCTGTGTATATTTCATAAACATTTAACTGTATGTTGACGCTATCCACGTGGAACGGCGCACAATTCAAAGGGGAAAGGCACGTTGATGATACCGCCCAACTTTCCCACCATGGAAGGTTTCGGGGCGCCCTCTGGCAGATGGAATGTGAACCGTTGCATCAGGGACACGAACAGCATGAAGAGCTCCATCTTGGCCAGCTGCTCACCAAGACATATCCGGTGGCCTGAAGAAAATAACGTTATCAAGAATGGTCAACAGCATTGTAATGTCAGATCATATGCCCATTCAAGGACTTTGACTTTTGTTGTTCACTCTACTCGCAAAATGTCCGAACTAGATGCTGGACTTTATCACTGAACTTCAATGTCCCTAAAGCCCCTGTCACTTTACTTCAATTTTCACCTCAAAACAAGGCTCAAGAATTCATGTTTTGGGTTGTAAAGATAGATATTTATTTACCTTTAAGTAGGGTTAATAAGTTTAGAAGTGTACCCATTTGGCCTCATCTAGGAAGCATTCAAAAGGAAGCTTGTTCCATACTGATAGTGATGTACTAAGTAGTTCTAGGAAGGAAGCTTTCCAGCGCGTAACATGTCCATTCTTATTTATCTATGAGCCTCCTTATTCCCGCGCGGACTCACCGATAGAAAACGGGATGAGCGCCTCGTGTTTGGCGAAGTTTCCGTCCTGATCCAGGAAACGTTCGGGTCGGAAGCTGCCCGGCTCTGGGAAGAGCTCAGGGTCCATGTGCACGGACCACAGGTTAACCTGTAACACACATAACACACGCATGGAGGAACATTAATCAATGAATGAATGAATGAATGAATGAATCAATCAATCAATCAATCAATCAACCAATCAAAACTGGTTTATTAGTAAACAAAGGCGTTGCAGCCAAAGTCTGAATTCCTTCTGCATCTTCGCGTGCTTAACAGAAGTACACTGGCCAACATCGCGCAAATGACGTGAAACGAAAAGCCTGTAAAGCCATTGATAGGCAAATGCAAATGTAGGTAAATGTTTGGATGTATATAGATAAGAAATCAATGATAAAACATCACTTTCTCACCATAATCCTGGCCTCCTGAGGGATGTTATAGCCATTGAGAGTGGTGTCGCTGGACGCTGCGTGCGGAACACTGAGGGGCACGATGGGTTTGATCCGCTGGACCTCCGCTATGGTCGCGGCTGTGTAGGGCAGCAGGTTCCGCTGTGCGTAGGACGGCGGGCTCTGCCCCAGCACCGAGTCGATCTCCTGGTGAACCTGTGGTCACATGATTGCTGTTATTGGTTATTTGGCGTCACGTGAGTATGACGTAATTTAGCGCCCGCCATGTTGGTGGGTGAAACCGCTGTTGTCTGAAGGAGGAATGTTTTGGGTAGTTTTCTCAGCACAGTATGACTTTAGTTAGTTCCTTTCTCAGAACCAATGCACCTTTACACAGCATTGCAAGCTGTGTAACTAAGTGGAGTCGAATAATATTTACGTCGTAACAATATAAAAGTTATCGGAACTTGCCTTTTCCTGGATTTCTGGGTTGACCATCATGTACAGCAGGGCCCAGCGAATGGTGGTGGCGGTGGTCTCAGTGCCGGCCGTAAACAAGTCTATCAGCACCTGAGGGTAGAAGATTACTAGTACTGATTATAATCAGTTTCTTCTACAGATTTTCGCTTCATAATAGCCATTCCACATTCATTCATTCATTCAGCCAAATGTCCTGCAATTTGGCATGGGGGTAGAGTGGGCAAATACCCCCAGACGTTTTTTTTCTTCATTTTGTTTGGAAAAATGCCTTAAAAGTTGCTTTATTTGTTTGTTTTTTTCTTTTGGTCATCTTGAGGCAAAAAATATACATTTTGGGACCTGGAGCCCTGGTACTAAATCCAAATAACCTAAAATTTGGTATGGGGATACCTTGGACACATGTCTACAGAATGGCATTCAAACTTTTGACATATGCCACTTTAGAATTGTGTAAAATAGGGATTTTAGGCTATTTTCAGTCAAAAATGTACACTTTTGGCTCTTGTGCCCTAGTTTTAAATCCGAATGACCTGACATTTGGTATGGGAATACCTTTGACACATGTCCAAGGAATGTCTTTCATACCTTAATTTCACGTTTACCACTTCAAAATTGTGTAAAATTGGGCTTTTTGGCTATTTTCGGACCAAAAATGTACAATTTCGGCTCCTTTGCCCTAATATTAAAACCAAATGACCTGAAATTTGGTATAGGAGATCCTTTGATGCCATCCCACAGAACTTTATTCACGCTATTGGCGTGTGTCACTTTAGAATTATGTAAAATGGGACCTTTGTTTTGCTATTTTTGACCAAAAAAGTACATTTTTGGCTCCTATGCACTAATACGAAAACTATGTTGACCTTTATAGGGGAAATTTGGAATGGGGAGGAAGAATGGGTGAAATGTGCTGTATTTGCTCTTGAGCAAATGTAGGCCTGTCTAGTTCATTCATTCATTCATTTAGTCCGTTTAACGCACCTCTTGTAGCTGCTTGTCGGTGAAGTTCTCCCGGGCTTTTTCGTCCTGAGGCCGCTGCTGCTCAAGAAGAAAGGCGTCGATAAAGTCCCGGATGTCGTTTGGGTCAAAGGTCTGCCTGTGATTCTCTATCTGTTCCTTGCAGAACTCTTGGAAAGTAAGCAACATTTCCACACCTTTTGAACGCTTTCCAGCAAATCTGCCATTACCAAGGGGAAGGTGTCGAAACACGGGGTGTATCATTATCAGACGATCGCCGACAGAGGGCCTTGCCTCAACTACGGTGTTTAACAGGCTCATCAGCCGAAGAAAATCAGGGTCGCCGTATTCAAATCGGTGCCCGAAGACAATCGAGCAAATGATGTTAGAAACACCGTTTTGGGCGATGACTTTTAAGTCGAACGGTTGTCCGTTTTGCGACAGAATTTCCTGAACCAGCGCGTTAGCTTCTTCGCTGATCTTGCCTTCCAAACTCCGCTTGCCGACGCCGAAGTCCCGGAGAGTCATGAGGGCGAATTTGCGCTGATGTTTCCACTCTGGTCCGTACGCGGCAAACAGGACTCCTGGGGACAAACGATGTACATGTATGTATATGCTTTTGTAACGTCCTCGTAAACTTGGCATTGATTGCGATACAGAAATACCGAGATTTTTCTGACTTTTCTTCTAGCTTTAATTATATCCTTCCTCATGAAAACTAACCCAGCATGTCGGCAATACTGCGCCTGCACGAAACCTGATTCTTTGACTGTTTTCGTTCAATGCTTGGTCAACGTTTCGTCAGAATTTTGTCTGTTGCAGGCGATATCTTGCCGACTCAGCATTGGAAAACCATAGACGGTATACGTACATGTATATCATCCTTAAGTACGCGAATACGACCTTAAACGAAACGTTCTGCCGAAGTGCTGTTTTAACAAAGTTGTCAACATATAAAACTGTTCCGAATCATCAGTCATGTAAATGTTTTCTGGCGTTATAGACAGAGGGGCGGAATATAGTACACATAAAATGGGACATTAAATTACCTTTAGCTGTTTCTGTATCCTTGGTCGTGGCATCTCCGCGTATATCTGCAATTCCTGGCGGGAGCCTGCGACTGGAGAAATCCTCGGCTCTCTTGACCAGGGCAGTGCGGATAGTCTCGTACCCAGAAAGGACGATGTTGGTATCGCGGCCGGCCCAGATGGTCATGACGTCACCGTACTGTTTGGACAGCTCCGTGAAAGTGGCGGGAAGAAAATCAGACTGGAAATAAAATGAGAGAAAAGAAAAAGAAGACATTTATTTGCAAGTAAAAAAGGCTTAAAGCTGTAGGCTCGTATAGAAAATTACCAGGGCCTGTAATTTGTTAGCCCGGGTTGCAGATTGTTTCCAGGGCCTACACAGGCCAGTTCCTCGGATCCATTATACCAAATTAGCATAAAGCTGGGTGACGTCGACCTATCAGAAGGCTCCATTCCATCAATCTGCCAAATATCATACAGTTCCTTTTCACCGATCTTCAGATACCAGACCAAAACATGAAACGGACCAAAAACAATACCCCCATTACATGGAGGGTAACAACCCAATAATCACCCGCATATGACCTCAGGTGACCCATATAGAACACCGGTCTGTTCTAAAAAATCCAAAAATAACTTGAGTTGTGTTCCAATGACCTCGGGTGACTAACATATGAACACCTGTACCCTGCCTTTGGGTTTCGGCTAAATCTCCCTGGCATCTTGTTCACCCTTTTTTGGCCAATCTCTAGCTCTGTATCCTTCCCACCACCGCTAGTGGAGTCTGCGTTCCTGTACTCACCTTAGCCATAGTGGGGAGGTTCCCAACCAGCGGCCAGCCCCTGGGTCCCGGCGGTAGGTTCCGGGGACGCTGCAGGTACAGGTAGGTCAGCAGACAGGCACACACAGCCAACAGTAATGTCGGCAAGTCGGCATAAGTACCAGCAGCCGTCACGACTCCCAGCAAAATACTCATCTCTAAATTGTATACCAAGCTGGATCGTCACAGGAAAAAGTACAGTTTACAGAACAGTCGGTATCTGACCCACACTGGTGGGGATACCCATTAAATACAATTGGAACATACCAAAGTTTCACGATAGGGGTGGTATGACATTCAGTATCCGAGTCGAGATACTAGTAGTAGTAGTAGTACTTTATTTTAATGGATAATTACTCCTATTACACAAATATGATACAATATATTTATGACAATGCGGTATGAAATGATACTTTTGTTGTGAAATTGCAAACTTTAAAATATAAAGACAACAGCCCCCTAAGCTTCCTGCGTATGGGTAGGCCCAAAATAGTCTTCTGACCATGAGGACGCCGAACCCTGACGTCATTCGGGGTGAATGACCATTCGGTCACTTTAAACGCGTTGGACAACTAGTATTAAACGTTATACGACCGAACGGTTAGGAAAGAGTTTAAATCTTTATAAAGTAAGATCATTTGTATTTTTGTCGGCAAAGTATACACGGTGAAAGGCACAAGTTTAACTATGGAAGTTTAAATTTCATAGGTGCCCAATGTAGTTTCAGGGCTTGAAAGCAAGATTTTGCAAAATCAGTATTCTAGGGACATACCTACATAGTATTAAAATTTAAACAGTGCTACCCCAATGTATATCGTCATTTATGGAGCAAAAATACAATGCTCAGTGGTGAGGATTCCACTTGTCTACCATACTGATCGTAACCAGGGCAATAGAAGTGATTTTCTTTTCGAACTGAAATCGTTGTTGTAATCTAATTCGTGGTCTCAAACGTTGTTAATTTAAAGCTGAAGTGTTATTTCACTCATTTTCCGAACAATTTTTTTTTAGTTAGTGGGGTGAAATTCTCCCTTCCACACACGAAAACCGGGGGACGGGGGGTGCGTTGGAGATACAATGTACTAGTAGCCGTGATGCATTTATTAAACTGTACTTGTTGGATCGCTTCAGCCGGGATGTACAAAGAAGAGGAGGAAGAAAAACATTGAATCTCAATCTACCGAACTTTCTTTAGAACTGAAATCAGAATTTCTTCCCGGGTCTAGTTCAGTTGGTGTAGTATGTGTAATACGTTCGATGTCATTCTTAACTGACCGTGAGGTCAATGACCTGTAGTAGTACCCTTGTCTTCTTTGAAAGCGAATGACCGTTCGGTCATCTGATGTAAACATTAATCTTGAAGGCTACTGCATAAAATTGGTAAGACAGCATTAAATTGGCGAGGCAGTATCAAATAAGCAAGACAGTATCTAATCTAATACGTCAGCAAGTTTTGCTGGTGAGAAAAATTAGCCACCAGTAGAAAACAGAAAGCCCAATAAAAATACAAAAGGTACAAAAATAAGCCGATGCCTAAACCTTCGCTTGGAAAGTATACATCACATCTATAAATCCTTTAACCGACCATAAAAAATGAAGCTGGGTAACTAGAGTTCCACGAGCTCATACCTTCGCCAAATGATGTTCATGTTTATGACTGAAAATTTTTCCCCCTGATTATGTAAATAGGATCCTCATTGCCATGAATTCTATAGGAGGCCCAAAGTTACGTCACTTGTTCCCCAGCACAAGAGCTACCTAGCGTCCAAATTTCGTGACGGTAGCATGTCTAGATCATATCAAAACCGTAAGTTCAGCTGCAGTGCCGTAACAAGCCGCTAGGGGGCCCAAAATCTAATCATTTCTAGGTCTCAAAAAGACCTACCTACCTACTAAATATCAAGTTAATCCATTAAAGCCCTCTCAAGTTATCGTGTTTACAGACACACACACACACACACACACATGAACGCCTCTGAAAACATAACCTTGAGGTTTTTATATCACAGTGATAGTGTTTCATCTACGGAGCGTAAAGTTGGAAATTACATGTATATTCCGTTAGTTACTGGGTATTTTTTCATGAACTATGCTAACTTTAGGGCTGGATACCACTCTCTCTATGCAACATGTGGACCTCATCATAGCCCACCCATTTGAAAACATGGATTACTGGACTTTCATTTTTATCACAATTGCAACTTTATTCACCAATACATGAAGAAAACTGGTAATAATGTCTATTGTCCACATGACGTCTAATTTACTCAATATTTGTCACATTTTGTCATAATATTTTCACGTGATATTCCCCATGATGTGCTTTTAAACTATATCTTCATGATTTTACCAGTCAAATTGCTTTGCATTAAATGGTTTAGCATATAATGCAATACCAATCAGTGTCCCCAGGTGGCTCTTCTTCACACTATAATACACCTTTTGAATAAACATAGCAGCAGTTTGCTTTTTTTTGCATTTCAAGGCCTTTCAAACAAATACATAATATAATCAATAGTCTGTTCCCACCAATATACAGAATTTCATGATTTTTCAAATTTCTTACATAAACAGTACATGTATCAGATTTAAATAAAAGTAAAATCTAATGGCAATTCAGAATTTGAGGTATCATATTCATATTCATAGCCATTCAATATATTCTAATTTTTTTTCAGGCACTCTGCTTTCAAATCAATCATTTTTCCAGCCCTACCACACCTCCCAGATAGTGTATGTGATTGGCCAACTCCTATCCAATGAGAAAGGTTTAAGATGTGCAATCAACCTTTGATTGGTTAGCAACTTTTCTGGACAACTAAAGCTATTGGCTTTGCATATGATTGGCAAATACCTAACCAATGAGAGAGCCTAAAACTTTAGTACTGATCTTTCCTGGTGAGCAGCTTTTCTCCAGCACTAGCTATTAGTGCTGTGTACCTAAACCCACATTTAGGTTCACATCCTGATTCAAGTCCAGAGGTTTAGGTTCAGTTCCGGACTTGTAAGTCCGGACCTAAACCCATGGCATATACAAAATTGCATGTTGGCAACCTTGCAATGTTGTCTGGGTGAAACTTAACACATAACATGGAGGCCGGTACTTGACGATGCCAATGTTTTCTTCGTGTTGCAGCAAAGATTTTACAGTCTACTTAAGGTTTTAGGTGTTTGAAAAGAAAAGGGGTATGTGAAATGGTCTTTTATGGTAATAAGTCCGGACTCAGTTCTTGACTTTTAGGGGTTTTTTTTGGACTTGAACCTAAACATTCTTTCAAGTCCGGATCCGAAGGCATTTAGGAATTTAGAGTTCAAAGGTCGATGTCGGACATTTGTAAGTGTTGTGCGTTGTTCCGTGCCTCGAAGTATGAGGTGTCAGTGTCATCATCTGGACAAGGTACAAAAGGAGCTGGCCTGTCATGGAGGTTTTCCCAGTCTATCCCAGCAAACAACGGGTGAGATCGCAACTCTGGAACAAAGAAATTTACATCAAATCATCACATGAATTTCAAATTTCATAGTAAATTTGGCATCTCTAACAAATGACTAATAGTATGTACATATAGAATACAACACGGGGTATTCCGTATCGCCCGAGGTATCGGCACGACTGCGGGTCAGATCGCGGGAGGGCCGGAACCGAGGGCGATGCGGAATACACCGTGTTGTATTTTATTTACATTGTATGTCATACCCACCCAAGAAAACACGCCTTTCAATGCAAGATGAGCCAAAAGTTGGTGCCACTAAACGCAAAAATGCAACAACATTAATTCTAACGTCCGGATTCTGCATTCAAATTTTCGAAAGTGGCGCACACAGTTAGAGCAAAACATGTTTGAATCGTTCTTTGGAAGCCATGGAAGCCCAGGCCGTACCGTAAAGTACGGCCCGGTCCGGAACCCGTTATCGAACGTTATTGCGGCCCGGGTATGATATAAAAGTATATATTTTTTAGTTGCTTGTTCATTCACTATGTACCTACGTTATGCTCACTTAACTCTGACAGAAAACTAAAAGGTATGACAGTGCCTTACCACTTGGTCCTGGCCTGTTGTGGTCCTCCATTGAAAGGAGAGAATCGATGGCATCTCTAGCCTGGTCTGACAGAGCCTCCTCTCCTTCTGGCCAGGGAATGTCTGTGTAGAACAAATATACTACAGGAGTCTACAACTGAACCTGGCATCTGTTTTACCAACTCTACTTTAGCACAGTAATTTGTAACACTTTTTGAGAGAGAGACACTGGCTTTACAAATTACATGGCCTTATGGGGAACCTTACCTCTATGGAGGATATTCTGGAACACCAGGTCTGGTGTTTGGTCGTTAAATGGAGGAATTCCGGTGAGGAACTCGAACAGACACACTCCCAGGGACCACCAGTCAACCCCCGCTCCTGAAATAAAATGCCAGAAGTCAAAGGGGTTGTACAAAAGTCATGTATTTGCACACACAGTGATCAAGGTGGCAGAACACAGTTATCGCCCTATGGGGATTCCTATAGTTAAGCACCCTGAGGTGACTCACTTTGACATGGTAAAAATTATAGCAGGGTGCACTATTGAATCACGGCCAACTAATATGTTGAAATATATGGTATATTCTACAAAATAACTGAAAACCAAAAAAAGGTATGGTTTTTTAACATAATGACGACCACTTTGATTTGGCCCTCTACCGAGGTCAATGGAACTGCAGCCGGCTCACCCTGGAACACGGTTGCATAATGCCGTGCATTTATATACAAACAGAAAAATCTTCACTAACCAAATCATACAGTGTACAAGCCGATACCTTTCTATACCACACAGCGCAGTTCATTCATGGGTACCTCTCACATAAGTCGCTCTTGCCAGGATTCAAGAGGTTTATCTGCACTACTTTCTATACCCGCGTCATAGACCCCGGGGGTCGCCCATAAATACTGTGTTCTGCGGCTTCAATGATGTAACAGTGAATCTGACACAGGAATTGATGATGTAAGTGAGAGCACACAAGTATTGATGATGTAATACTGTGTTCCATATGAAACCCAACGAACCCAAGTAAGTTTACAATTTTACGTTTTACTAGTATATACACTCAGGCACATAAATGGAACATCTAGTCATGATGACACAGTAACATAAAAGACATTGTCCTCTCAAGGGCAAGGTCAATCAACAGACTGAAGGAGCTATAGGAGTTACTTGATGCTACAATGCCTTTGAAGTCAAAATTTTCTGTAAGACTAAGAGCATGCAAAGACAGCAAGGCTTTCTGGGCTCTTAAGTAGCATAATGGACATTTGATCTCAGCCATGTTATAAGATCTTTTAGATGTCTTTTAAAGTGCTTATGACACCAAAAAAAGTCTGTGAAATACATACAAATATCGGAAGTGTACAATACAATATAGTCACTTGAAGTTTGTTCAAATCATGATGACTGAGAAACTGAGCTTGTACTGCCTTCTAAAAGGGGGGTTTTTGGAGACTCTCTAGCAAGCTTCCCAATCGCCCACTTCGGGCATCTCTATTTGTATCTCTATGTTTTATTTTTGCATTTCTGTGCTTTTTCCTGAGCTGACATCACTGGATGACATTAGCTCAGGAAAAAATATAGATATGCAAAAATAAAATGTAGAGATGCAAATTGCCTGCCAGGACTGACTTTTCCAAGGTAGGGCGTTAGAATTTTGAATGTAACAAGAGAACTGTGCATATTTATTGTAAATGTGTCTGTTAGCCAGGTAATACTAGTTATGTCAATTACGATCAGCTAAAGTCATATTTTGGTGTCACGAGCACTTTAAAGGGCAAGGCTGAAATCTGCAGACGGACACCCGATCCTACCATGTTTCTTCCCCAGTAGCAGCTCTGGTGCCAGGTAGTCTGGAGTACCCAGGACTCTACCATCCTCCTCCTGGGGGGCAGGGCCTCGACGCACGCTCTTGGGGGTCCTGAAGGGGGTTCTTGCAGGGGTCTGGTGAGGGGTTTTCTGTATCCAGCCATTGTTCTGTACAAGTAGAAAAGTAAAAGTTATTGCCCTGAGGAATTTGTAACATTTTACCATGAAAATTTGACGAGTGAATTATGAAAATTTGTTCAACTGCACATGCAACTGCATTGATAGATGGAAAAACATCATCATCATCATTCATCCTCTGTAATAGAGGTGGAGCATAACAACTAGTTGGAAAAACAACTAGGAAGAAAAGGACTTTCCTCAACTGTTTGGGGGCAAAATATGAGCATTTTTGAGTTGATTCAGGACCAGAATCTTTTTTTGCAAATCAGAAAAAAATGAAGAGGCAAATCCGAGAACCAACAAATTAAATTGGTGTGGCCTTACATTTGTTGATCTGTGAAGGCTTGCAAGCATACCTGAGGTGTTCCTTTTGAGTCCTTCCGTCCTTTGTTCATTGGGGTCCCAAAAGGGGTAACGGACATTCCCGTGTGGTCTGCACACCCGTCAGCACTACACATAGACGACTCTGCTCCAGACGAGTAGTTACTGTGCTCGCTTCGCGCGTAGATCTCGCACGAATCCCGGAACATAACCTCTCGCTTCGGGGTCTCCTTGATCATTCCTGTACTTTGTCGCCGAGGTGGTGGATTCCACGCAACAGAAGCTTCCGAACGCTCTTCCAAGATGACGTTTAAGTTGTCAGCAGAGTGGTTCAAGCTTCTTGAGCCTGGTCGCGAGTCTTCCTTCGTGTGGTCCAAACTTTCTATGGAATAGTTCATGTTCCGTGAGTTCGGCCTTGAGTCGTCATCCTCAACACTTAACAGACTCATGTCTTGCTCTAAGCTTGTGTCTGCAGACTTTAGAGGAGACGTGACATTGTCAGCAGGGGGTGGAGCATCTAGACGGTGTTCTAGCTGAAAGGCTGGTGGGTGCACGTCGATTGGGCTTGGAGGATTGCTGAGTAACAGGATTGGATCCATCTCTTCATCTTTTCCAGTTTGACCATTTGCTTGCTTTCTTGTGCTTTCAAATGGCGCATTTCTCTCTTTTGCATAGTCATCTGTCACAGAGATATTTTCTGATGAAAAAGGTACTTCTGCTTTGGACTTTTCATGCACATCTTGGCCTTTTGTGCTGTCTTGTCTGTTATCATCCTTGTTAGTTGCTGAGTCAAGGATAGACTGCACACAGATCCTGTCTAAGGCAAGAGTCAAGCCTGTGGACCTCAGTGGAAACGTGTCCTGAGTTTTGCATAGTTTATCTGTCTTCTTCTCAGCATTATCTGACTCTGGGCTTACTTCTACCATCTCAAAAGCCCTCTTCACTCCACCTGACCCTACTGTGTCCCGCATACACTTTGCACTAGGGTCATGAACTATGACATTTGACCCATCACCTCTGACACTAGGAAAGGAATGCCTCTTAATCTGACCAAATGCTTCCTTTCTTCTGTCACTGCCATGTATTGAACTCTGACCTGCTGCCCCTGCCTCTTTTTCTAGAGAGAAAAACTCAGTCTCGTTGTTAGGGTCATGCCCTACCACCTCTGACCCCTGACCTCTGAGACCAGGAGGAGAATGTTGTTTATTCACTTCCCTGATGTCCTTTCTTCTATCGTAGTCATGTGCAAAGTTCTGCAATGGTGCCACCGACTCCTCTTTTTTAAAAGAGAGGCTCTCCTCATCCGTGTCCACCACACAGCCACTGTCTGGGAGTGAAGCAGAGCAGATGTCTTGTTTTGTGTTGTTGGCATTAGCAGCATGCGTCATGAAACTCTCCTCCCACTGTGGGCTGCAGCAGTCAGGCCAGGTGTTAGTCAGGGAGGAGAGGTTGAGAATGGCTTTGGGAGAGATGTTCTTTGCCGGTGTGTCTCTCCTTGGAGTCTCCAGATGCATGACCTTTTTATCAGGCTGTACAGCTGGACTGGGGGTTTTCAGTTTGGCCTTGCTCCCTTCTGATCCCACAAAAACGTTGTCTGAACCAGCAGAAACAGATCTTTCCCCGACTTTTTTTGACGACTTCACTGCCAAGAAATTCTGCTCCAACCCAGATGTGGATTTCCCAGAAAGCCTTGCACCACTTCCTGTAGAGGAACGACTTCCCTCTTTGCCAAAAAACATGGAGGAAACTGAGTTCTTGGATGACGGCCCCTTTCCTAGGAAATTTATTTCGCTTGTGGAAGAATCAGGACAGCTACTTGCCTCTCGGAGAGTTGGTGTGAGGCATTTCACTGGTGATGGCTCTACAAAACTAGAATCCAACGGTCTTGGTTTGAAGGGAGCACCCCTGGGCACAAGACTTTTCAGCACACTGCAGACACTTCCATAAAAGGAAGAGCCGCTAGCTGATTGGTTGGAATATCTGGAGCTTGCTGCTGATTGGTTGAGACTGACGGGGCTTGAGTGAACTGAGCTCATAGGGCTCTCCATCATGCACTGGCGCAGCTGCTTGTGTTTTGCTACTGGAGTTCCTGATTTTTGTGCGCTCTGAAGAAAGGAAAAGAATGTCCATAATTGCATGACAATGCAAGATAGTTGAATAGACTAAAGTCACGTGTAAAGATTTAGTTTGTTTTCAACATTTCATTGAGTAGAAACCATTTGTAACTACATGTATCATTATTCTAGTATGAATGAAAAGCCAGAGATGAGCATTAAAATAAACTTAGTATTAGCAGAGATATGACATGAAGACTTACGAATGACAAAGCCATGGTGAGTGACAGCAGCTGTCCTGGTGTGCGGTTGTAGTCGTTACTCAATGGTTTGACCTGTGACGGAGTACCCATCACATCTGCCATGTTGATTTCTGGTGTGATGGAGAATAAAAGAATACAAGTTACGATACATCTGTTCTTAATACTACATGTAAGTGTTCTCTTTAAAATATTGGACAAGTCCCGATTTTTGCCCACTTGCCCAGGGCAAGTAAAAGCACCTTTTGGGCAAGTGAATATCCCCCTGTACTTAACCTGGGTACCTCCTATTTGTATGCCGGGGCTCCCATATCCCCCCTAAGAAATATTCCTAGGGGGAGTGTGGGAGCCCTGGCATACAAATAGGATAGCATCCAGGCTACCTGTAATTTTTTGGATGCAGTGTTTTGAGCAAAATTACACATCATTTTTAAATAAAGATAATTATATTGATACCAGTCAAAAATATGCCCTTTTGTCAGAAAAGTCTCTAAGTCTAAGTATGACATGTACCCTTATTTTTGTAAATAAAACTAGCAACATCTATAAACTTAAAAGTGCTTTTTTATTGAAAAATAAAATAACTTTCTTTTTGTAGGCAAAATACATAGAAATACGTCATATTTTGGGCAAGTGAAAAGTTGGTTCGGGCAAGTGAAAATGACCATGTACTTGCCCAATAGGGCAAGTGGATTTTTGAAAACTTGTCCAACCGTGCTTGGAAAGCACTGGCAAGTATAGTTTAATTATGTACCTCTGTTCAAGTTGAATTTGGAGAGTCCAAAGTCGGTCAGCTTAATGTGACCATCGTTGGAGATAAGCATGTTGTCAGGTTTGATGTCCCTGTGTGGGGAGGAAAATGTCTGGTGTGAAAATACTTCAAGATTGTTAATATGTCATAAAAAACATTGTAAGTTTATATCCTCTGACTCATGAAGCCGCTACAAATATAATTGTTATTCTTACAACATGCAATATCCCTCATTGTGAAACATGCATCCCTTCTGAAGTTCATCAACAATTAAATAATAAGCCTTACTTTCCCAACATTTTGTCATCCTAATCATGAAGGTTCATCTGTCTTGGTAGTTAACTTACAATGTTTAAAGTTAAAACTTTAGATGCAGTTCACAAAGAAGTCTCACCTAGAGCTTTTGTTATCCTGTTTGCCAGCTACATGTATGAGACCCCTCAAAGCAAAGACCATTATTTTTTTTTTTTTTTTCATTTTTGTGATACAGGCTTTTAGAATGGTTTTATTTGAGCTTTTTGGCTGTGTTATAGAAAATGTGCTATACATTTTTGTAGCAGTATGTTGCCATCAGAATGGCATGCAGAGCAAGCAACCAATAGGAATGCAGCTTTCCTCTATTCTTATTGCTGATTGGCTGTTGGAATTTGATTGGGTTAACTCATTAAAAATCCTAACCAGTAATGTAGGGGATAGCTATATCCAACTGTTGTCACTTCATACTATAGTTATATAAATGTTAAGAATTGTTTTCCCTTGTATTTCTCCTTCTTTCCCTGCCATGTCGTGAAATGTGGTGAAGCCATGCTGAATTTGCTCCAAAGCAAATGTCGGCCTTTCTAGTTATTAATTTGTATTCTGACCTGTGAATGATGCCGTGACCATGTAGATACTTGAGTGCCAGGATGACCTCTGCTGTATACATGACGGCCATGTCTTCATCAAAGTACCCATAGATGTGTAGCAGGGATTTCACATCCCCACCTATCAGGTACTCCATCACCTGGGGTTGGGTGGGGCGGATTAGGCAAGTCTTACCAGGTTTATTTCACTTATAAATATGTTATAATCTATTGGAAACATCACACAGACCAGCTTAGGCTAATTGTTGAACTAGCAGTTACAGAAATAACAACATCACAACAGGGTTCTAGCTAGCGCAAAGCAGCGTAGGGCCCCATACGCTATAATTTTGACCCCCTCTGCTAAATTTTCAATACAGCATAGGGGCATTGTGATGAATTTTCTTTGTTCAAGAATGCGATACCTTAGAACTAACATTTTTTCCCTTTGGATATCCCTCAAATGGCCCCTTTTTAGCTCAATTTTTTAAAAGCTTCGGCCCATCCCCCCTCTAGGTCACTTTGCTCCCTTGACATGCGGCCAGTACCACTACACTAAAATTAAATCCTAGCTAGAATCCTGCACAAACAGTAAGTAATATGCTCCATTTAGTCAACCTACTCTCAGCTCTCTATTAAACGTACCGGTACGTTTATTTTTTTTCGCTTCGAAATCCGCCCGGTACGTTCTTATTTTAGACGGTACGTTTATTATTTTTTCAGAATCAAACCAAGTTCAGGACAAATTTTCGGTCCTGAACATAAAAGTTTGAACATAGATTTTCAAAATTAGGGATTTTATTCCAACATTTCCCCGATAATTTTCAAAATTGGGGATTTTATCCCCGATAAATGTGCTCGTCATTCCAATTTTCTTCGGCCAGGCGGCGTGGAACGAGCGCTAATCGGGCCACTATTCATTCCATTGCCGGCACAATCTTGTGAATTGACGATGAATTGTCGATCTCGCCATGACGCCGCAGAGAAAACTTTGTTATTGGTAGAAAATCTGACACCCCGCTGGCGTTTCACAACAAAATTTTAATGTAAACAACTCCGAATGTCTTTGTTTACATCGTGAATTCTCACCGATACTCCCGCCGGCCGGCCGCGCCCGACCACATGGTTGAGGCATGACACTAGTTTTCGGCAGCTCGGCGGAAAAATAATCCATCCCCAGAAGAAATGTTACGCATGAAAATAACAACTACAACTTGCTTTCCTCGTTATATGAGTTTTTGAGGCCGTAAATGTTTAAAACGGTTGAAATTTGCTCGAAAAACGGCTCGAAAATCCACGGCGAGACTGCCAAAATGGTCGACAGTGTTTCACAATAACAGTGGTCAAAGGTCAAGACTGCATCCAAATGTACAAGATACATGTACAAAGTACATATTACAATGTGCTAAAACGAAACTTTAAACGCATGAAAAAAAATTTTTCGGCTACAACTGAAATAAAAATTCACTAATATTTTTATAAGGTTAATTTTCAAACATTACTGAGAAATTTTCCGAATTTATTGTTTTTTTTTTGTGTTAAAATGTAATGTTGTTTCTATGAATGTGCGGTTGGATGCTGTGATTGTGAAGTCCCTTACATTGGGAGAATCAGATGAGATATTAGAGATTATCACGCTTAGTACCGCGACCCGAGTGTCTCTCAAAAATTGTTTTTGAGTGGAGTTTATAGACATGATTTATTTGTTTAGCTTTGTCAATATGTGATTTGTTTGGGAAATAGGATTTGGTTTAGTTTTTAATATATCAATGTCAGTAATATGTTAATGTTAATATATTAAAAACTAAACCGAAATAGGATTTGGTTTAGTTTTTAATATATTAATGTCAGTAACACTTTGGAAAACTTGCTCCAAGTTCCAGGTAGTAAATACATGTACATTTTGTATCATGTATTTTTCACTTGTTGAACTTGTGGAAGCACCGTTGGCCCCCGGTTAGGGGTCATCCGGGTAACCTATGCCCAATTTTTTCAAAATTAAGGATGCTAATAGAATTTTTTTTAAACATAAAGAGGGTAATTAAGTACAGATCTTGGACCTTTCTCCTGCCTTATACATCTGCAGTTGTACAGAAAATGTAGAACTGAAGTTGCAGGTAAATGACCTCCATTTGTGTTTGGAAACGACAAAATGCAATAGCTTCGCACCCTCCTCCACCCTGCTATGAATTTCTGGGGAGATCCCTGTATATATATATCTCTATATGGCCTATGGGTTTTACACATTACTGCAAATTTGTATAGAGCATTTATTCAGCATATTGTAAATTTCTGTTCAACTTCAAACTCTATTAATGTAATCTTTCTGATAATTATTAAGCTAAAAAATCAAGGACTCTTATTTCAAAAACTTGATAGCATTGTTCCTGCTCAATGTATGCATGCAATGCAATGATAACAAATTGTGTGAACCTCAGAGTCAGATCTCGAGTTAGAATATAGATGGCTAATGTACTAAGATATAGACTGTACGTGACATATACCCCATGTACATGCACTTTTCAATAACTTGTAAGAATGCAGGCTGATAATTTGGTACTTTTCCAGCTGAGGGTATGTTTATTCTGGGCGGGTATATTTTTTAGGTTTTGAAGATTTGTCGGGGGTACTTTTATTCCAGAGTCATGTTTATTTGGGATACATATACCATGAGAACACATTTTAGTAGCATAAACAATTTGGCTTAATTACATGTCAATTTTAAAATTTTCCGGGGGGTACTTTTATTCCAGGGGGTACTTTTATTACATTTTGAAGATTTGTCCGGGGGGTACTTTTATTCCAGGGGGTACTTTTATTCGAGAGGTGAGAGTAGATATCTTAAAGGGTCTAGTCTTTGTGATCTTTCCATATCTATGAACAGTCCTATTGATGCAGGGTTTTACTTCCTTGCTTTCTTCATGCAACAATATACTGTCTGTTTCTAAAAGTTTGGAATCCAACTGTATGTAGGAAAATTATGAAGGGACATCAGTGGGTTTTAAAGACACTTTTTGAGGTGACCAGATACTTAGAATAGATGATAGGTACACCTTACAGTTGCAGAGTACATTTGGTGTTGTTCTTACAGCCCCGTGGAATGAAG